CGCAGCAGACCACGCTCCCCCCCCACCTCCCCCGCGACTAATCACTCGGTTGATAACGCGCTTGGAAACGAAGACTCATCGGGAGACCGGAGGGTGGCGTCTCCGAGGGCAACGGTGGGCGGTGTGCTAAACTGGAACGCTCAACACAAGTTTAGGCCTAATCGTCTCATTGTCTCCGTTCTGCTTGAAAGGATCAGCAGCCATGCTAAGCTCCTCAGGGTACCAGCCCTCAGCTGCTCTCTGCCATCTTGCTTTGTCTTTATTGCTGTTGTTTGTGTTTACTGAGCAGAGTCTGTTTTGTTTTTGTTTTTTCTTCCTTTTTCCAGCGGCATTGTTTTTGTTATTTGATTTTGTTCACCTTTTTGAATTTGGGTTCCAGTTAATCATTGTTTCTTCGGTGCCTTGAAGTGTTTTCTGTCGTCGACGTGCTTTTTAGAATTCCGAGTGACTGTCTGACTGCCAGCCAACGTGTGTCTGCAATCCGTCAAGAATTCCCTCCTTTATTTGTCGAGTTGGAGGAAATATTCTGATCATTATTGAATGTCACAGTGAAGAAGAAAAAAATAGCTATTAGAAGTAAAAAGCATTTAATATGAAGCAGTTGCTGCACTGATCCGACTAACAGGTGATATCAGTTTGTGTAGGTGTGGGAGCATCTGAATCCCACATGCTAGTCGCAGATTTCTCCACTTCTGCTGTACATAAATTAAAAACCAGGAAAAAAAAGTTCTTCAAAATCAAGAAGAAGAGTTTGATGTGATCAAATTGTTTGGATTATTAGTATTGTGAGAACAATGTGCTGAACCCTCTGAACCCCAAGCAGCTTGTGGGTGGTAATTATTAGTTTTTTGCTTGTGTTGCACTTATACTCACATAAGTTACTGTGATATAAAGTCCTGGACCTCTGTGGAAACATGGCTAGAAGTGGAGAGAACAGTCTACAGTGCAATTTAACATAATTATAATGCTATAAATCATAAAAAGAACAAACAACGAAATGTATTTTATTGTTTGTCTGACTAAAAAAAAAGATTCTAAAGTGCACACAGGTGCTGCTAATGCTGGAAAAACATGCTGGTTCTACATACGATAGATATTTTATGACTTTATTATTTATGCAGTTCAGCTAGAAAGTCCTTAAATTGTTGTCACGTGATTGTTAATCACAGCTGAGTCACTAATGGCTTCTCAGTGAGGAACGCAGAATTTATTTATACTTCATGCGTTTTTTACAGAATCTGATTAGCATTTATTTAATGTATTTACTCATTTTTGGTTTGGGTTTGGGTTTTTGGGGGGCAAATTTGTGAATGAGACCTCTATATAGACCATGGACAGTTAAAATTCCACTTTTTTTCAGTTTTTACAGTTTAAGGCTGTGATAAATTGAGTAATTTTGTTGATTTATTAATTTTTTTTAAAGAAGACATGCCTGTCAGTGGGTTTTGAGGCCCAGATGATTAAAGAACCCAACCACCATTTGTAGGATAGGCCTGTAAATAAAAACAGACGTTCTAATGAATCTGGACATAATGTTTTTTAACTATATATTAGACTGTCAGCCTCTATTTAGCTCTATTGAGCCACCAACTATTAAAGGTTTTGGTTGCATATGCGGCTGAAATATTTGTACAAGCCACAACATATGATCTAGATATTATTTCCATGGAGAAAAAAAACTATTTAAATGTTAAATAGTCTGAATGTAAAATCAAAACTAGTAACAGCACCTGCCAGATAAATGCAGTGGGATAAAAAGTGTGTTAAACAAAGAGTACAAATGACAAACTCAAGTGAAGTTCCCAGTTCGATTTCTGAAAAACCATAAGAAGTATGGAACAAAGAGTTAGTGAACCTTTAAATCGGCTGTGAACAGTGGCGATGCTGACCTGGTCTTTAATTCTCCTCCCTTGGATTCCTTTACTGGAGCATTAAAGCAGCAAACCAATGGCTGCACCATGAGCAAGCCCCTCCTCCTACAGCATCAGCTCATGCCTGTGTTACGGGTATTTACCATCTGCCGATTATCAAACGTGGGATGTCTAGGATTTGTTCAGGCTTTGTATGTATATTGTAAACGCTGTCCCATTTACCCAACCGTCTCCGTGGTACAGGACATTATGTTGTCACGCGGCGCCTGTTTTGTTCATCCGTAGACGCGTTGTGATCAAAATAGCTCGCGAAAAACAAATGACACAAATATTACACATACGCCGCACGTTCTCCCAGAGGAGCTGATGAACTGATTAGATTTCTGAAGCACCTTAATGCATAAAATTGCATGTTTTGAGGGTATAAATGATTGAATCAGAGTGTTTTTTTTTTTTCGAAGGCTTTGGAAGCAATTCATCCCACATGAGGATCAAATGTGAAACCTGAGGCTCGGAACCCGACCACCTGCCCGTCTGCAGGCATGGCATGCTAAACTTTAGTTGTGGTAGAAACACAACAAAGCCAGAGGCAGAGAGGGAGCCTGAGACAGGACAAGGGGGAGAGAGAGAAAGAGGGAGCTTGTAGCCCCCGAGGGCCTCAGTCCTATCTGTCACTGTGCCACAACGATTCGCCCTGTAACTGATCCATGGACACTGAGTCTCCAGGTCAACTGTGACAGCCCGCTCGGTGTGTGTGTGTGTGTGTGTTTGCGTCCGACGTGGGTGTGGACGGGTACATCAGTGCATCTGCATTCTGTCTCCCGCGATGCCAGTGGCTGTCAGTCTCCGTCTCCTGTTGCAGAACCGCGGGGATGCGCGCCGAGGAGGCCGCTCGCCGCTAATGAAATGACACGCAGGTAGAGGATGCGGCGAAGGGCGTCACGGGGTTAGAGGCGCGCGGCGGCAATATGTTGCCACGGCAACAGTCAATGAGACTTTGTCCACGTGAGGAGCGGCCCATGTAGGGGGGGAGAGAGGGAGGAGAGGCGGAAACAAGTCAAAGTGAAGCAGTTGCCATAGCGACTCTTCCATTGCAGCTGCCTGTAAATTTCTCTCTGCCCCAGTGTGCGTCTGCCTGACTGAGGCGCCGGTTCCTGCATCATGGTCGTGTACATGCGTGATGTGAGCGCGGTGCGTCGCTGGGGCTTCAGGGTTCAGTGTGACGTGTTTCAGCAGGTGTTTGATGTATATTAGTATACATATATACACTATATATATAAAAGCAGGTTTCAAAGGGAGCCAAACACCCTCCGTCTCTTTTCCTTCCCTATAACAGATGCTGTAGTGGTTATTTATGTGGTTGTTCTACACTACTGCTCACTCATATCCCCAGGCCTACACACACACTCTCACACACACACACTCACACAGAAGCCAACAGGGGCTGTCACTGTGCCACAGTTCTGAGTCTTGTGTGCCATATGCTACCGTGGGCTCCTGGCAAGCAGGAGTGTCGTTGCTCACAGTCAGCTGGGAGACTGGTTCAAAGGCCAACGAGAGCCCATCAGGGACCATCCTGCATGCACACACACACACTAGACACACACACACACACACACACAGGGCTGCAGCACGGGGCGTCTGTTCAAAACTCTCAGGACTGATATGAGCCGCTTCCTGAACTGATCTGCATGTATTTTAAAGACAATGATGCCAGATTCACTTTAATTAAACACCGATACACAGATATCCATATTTACAACGTATTTCCTCATTTTCAGTTTATTTTTCAAGCAAGTAAACATTGTATGAATTAGAAACAGTGTTTTGATCTTCTTAAGCACATCTGAACACAAATCAATAAATAAAAGTATCTAAAAAGTGTTTGATTTTCAGACCACATTGCAGTCAAATCCCTCCATTGTACACATTTGAAGAAAAATAACACAAGACTTTATAGGAAGGAACCCTAACCCTAAATTTAGTTTTCTGATGGTCGAACACGACATTTTTATGCGAAACTTTCCCGTTATCTTTCGTTCTTTCTTTTTTTTTTACCTCAAGGCAGGACCCACTAACAATTTGTGCCAGTGCAAAATGATAGCATCCAAGAAAAACTGTGTTTCCTAGAGATTCCCCACAGGGGAATTGACCTAGAAATAGGTTGATATAGCTGTCCCCGCAGCTCAGGGCGAGTTGCAATTTGCATTTATGGGAGTTCCGAGTTCCAAGGTGCAAAATAAAACGAGGAAATTATGGAAATTCATTGCAGACATGATATATTAAGAGCCAGTGGCCTTTTATTATCTGTTGATTGCACACAGAATGTTCTTCTTCGGAGCGGAGTGCAGACATCAGCTTTGCTCCTTTCAGGCCCGGTTTTAATATGTCTCCTCATGTCATGCTGGTGCCTTTTTACCCTCTGTAAAAATGTGCTCTTGGTGCCCAGTTGCTTTCAGTGTGTTTACTTTGTCATCCCAGAGTGCCTTTTTACGCAGTGTTAAAACATCTCTTCTTTGCAGCAGACAGCTCTTTGGGGTGAACTTTGACACCCTGAGCGAAAAAACACAACTTGTCGCACATGTAGTTTGCGCTCAGTTTTCCCTAATTGTCCTTAATGTTCTGCTTTCTTGTCGTCAGTAACCCTTGCACACTTGCACATACAGTTGCATCGGAATTGCATCAGCGTTGGTCAATCTGAGCCTCATTTTGAAATAAACCACGTCGGGCAGTGATATACACTAATGTGCCACACTACCCAGTAATTTTCTTCAAGCACTGTTGCTTTAATCTCCAGGAAACATTTGATTAGATTCTTACTGTGGTGTCTCTTGTTATTGCCTGTTGCTGGAATCATTGCCTGAAATCTAAATTACCTCCAGATCATTTTAAAGCGCTGACATCCAGCTGTAGGGAATAGTGCGGGGCTCTCGTGCTCCGATGCAGCGCCGTGTTTTCATCCAGCCGAGCAATTTGCTGTTTGTTCAATATATTATGGCCTAACACAATGTGTGATCAAAGAGAATATGAGAGACGTAAATACAGTTATTGACTTTTTTTTTTTTCTTCTTCCGTGCTCTCTATTCCCTGCTTTCTCCTCCGTGTGTGTGTGTGTGTGTGTGTGTGTAGATATCCGTGACCGCAGGAAGAAGCCGGTGATGCTGTTCATTCACGGGGGCTCCTATATGGAAGGCACCGGAAATATGTTTGATGCCAGCGTCCTCGCCGCCTACGGCAACGTGATCGTAGTGACCATGAACTACCGCCTCGGTGTGCTCGGTGAGTAACCTTCTCTCTATCATATGGAGATTATATACCGATATTCGTTACATTGACTCACCATAACTTGTGCACACATGCAAGTCAGTGTCTCCGACTTTTCTTCCGTCGAGGATGGATGACATCAATAGGATTCATCAGTGTAATGACCACCAGTGCAGGCATTCATCATGAGAGCTCACTTTCTTACCGATTTCCTTTTCTGATTATTCTCGTCTAAAGACTCTGATTGTGTAATTATTTCTGCTTTCTTTGAATGCCACTGCAACCACCCCGATGGGGGAAAAAAAAAGCCCATATTTTAGACACAGAAAACAACAATCTGTCTTGAATACGGTCTAACAGGAGGAGGAGGAGGAGTCTCTAATCCTGTAATTTCACTATTGTCCCTGCATCTTTAAAAGGCACGAGGCCTGTTATTTGAAGCAGGATTCACTTCTGCTAACTCACGCTGCACACCTAACCTGCTCCGGAGTACAGTCATCCTCAGATTTATTCATACGCTCCCATTAAAGAAGGAAAAAAAAACGTCACGGAAATAATTTGAAATTGACAAAAGTAGTAATAATGAAATCATAAAATCATGACATTTCTTTTGAATTGTGGTTCAACAGAAATTTTTTTAAAAATAAATAAATAACAAGCATGATGGGACCCATAAACTACCATTTTGTTTGAGCCAATCACTGCAATCAAGTGTTTTCTGTAACTCTCAGTCAGACTTCTGCACCTGTTGACAGCAAATTTGATTTTGGTCCACTGCTCATCAGCAAAATGCTCTAATTTTACAATTTGGGTTTTTTTTTTTATTATTATTCTTTTCAACCACAATTCAAAAGCAATTTCTTATTTCACTAAATTATAATTTAGCAAATTTTTATTTATTATTACTTTTTTCCGTTTCTAGTTATTTGAGTGACTTTTGTGAACTTTGCCTTTTCTTTAATGGAAGGGTATGGATACATGTGAGGACGACTGTATGTTTGGTTTGAGATGTGTAAACTCACCACCTTGTCAGTTCTCTCTGAAAACGGCACCACCATTCTTAGACGGTGTTGCCGAGCTCGGTGTGCAGATCGAGTTTTTAGAGATAAACCCTTTCCATGACGAGAACAGATAGGAGATACAAGCCGGTAGATTCTCAGAGGAGGTGGAGGAAGTCTCGTCTCGCTTTATTTTTTTTCCTAGTCGGCTCCAAACTATTTTAATTATTCCGTTGGCTGAATAATTATAACACAATAAACCTGAGACTAATGTCTTGTGCTTGTTGACCTGATAAGAAGCCTACTTACCGGTCTGAATGATGTTTATGTATTTGCTCTTTATTCGCTCCCAAGACTGTTTAACACCACCGGGGCTGCAGCAGAAAGAATAAAGAAACAACAATAAAGCTGTCTTACACACCATAATAATAGGCTACAACAAAGCAGCACATTAATTTAATGTGATACACAATTGTAATTATAGTCACATCTACTCCGGCCTTAATGATAGGGGCAGTGATATTGATAAGCCTATTAACTTATACATTAACACAGTTGGCTTCGGCTGCAGCAGCTGTTTTTGCTTTAATTATATTATTTTAAATTACTCACCTCGGTATAGGAATGTTTGTTTTTCTGTAAAGCTCTCCACCTTTTCATTTGCATAGCCAGGTTCAGGCTTAATGCGTTTGTCAGGTTTAGTTAAGCCGGATAACAAGAACAAATCCTGGATATGTTTAACTGGCTTCATAGTGCTGATTTGCTCTTCTTTTCGTCTCCTACCACTGCTCAAAAACAACAGATAAATCGTAGGAGATCATGCCAACTTAATGTACAATAACAGAAAGAAATACTTCATTTCTTTAGACGACAGAAAGTCAATATTTTCTCTGCTTTTCTTTTTACTGCACAAGTGAATATTTACATCTCAATCTTGTCAAATAACTGCACGATCATTCATATTTAACTAGATAAAGGCCACAAACTGGTACCAACATTTACCCACTACAAGCAGTGACATTTATGCAGGGATCAGTGACTTATGCACAATCTGTGTTTCTTTATTTCTATTTAAACCGACTTATTGAAATAAGATTTACCGACTTATTTCCGTGCGCCACCTTTGCTCTTTTCACCATGCGCCTTTTCTACTCTGTTATTTATTTGGCTACTGGTTGCTGCGTTCGCCCGTAACTCTCGCAGAAAGGCCTTTATGAGAGCCAATTCAAAGACGGGAACAAGCATGCAAATCAGATACAGATCTGGCATTTTTACTGACACAGAAATGCACCTCACAATTCTTCATTTTAACTGCGTGCCCTCTTCCCAGAGCCTCCAACCTCTAGATGTCTTTTTGTGTAATTCATTCCACAAAGAGTAAGGATTGTAAAGAGGAAAGCACCTTTACAGAGTGTTTTTTGGTAGAAGGAGGCTCGGTTATGAGGTACTTTTGAGCTGTTACTACCAAGGAAAGTGAGGGATTTGGTTCCAGTGGCTTTACAGGCCAGTGTGTTGTACATCATCAGGTCGCTGCGAGATCTGCCGCATTCTGGTTAGCGAAGATTTTAAAAAACCAACGTATCGTCTGCTTCCTCAGCTCTCCCGCACGAGCTCGTCATCCCTTTTCTGAAAATATACTTGACTTCGCCTCTTTGTTACTCACCGCACTCTGTCTGGCTCCATTGAGACCAAGTAATTTAGCTTGGAGAGGAGGAACATGCCTCGGAGGAGGCAGGTGCTAACTAAAGGAAACTAAGTGCATTAGATATTTCATTAGCTGAGGAGAGAGTGGGCCCCTGGAAGCTGTTTCAAAATCGGCTGCCTGGCTTTGATTTGTTTTGTTTCTCTCTTAAAGGACGTTGCTGTGTTGTTGTTGTTGTTTTTTAGAGCACTTAAACAGCTTTTACATTGGTGACAGATTTTCATTTGCATATAATTGCCTTAAGTGTTTGCTTTTTAATGCATCTTTGTTGAGTTCATCAGCATTTTTTTTGCTCATGTGGATAACAAACTGCACTGTAAAGCCATGAAGCAGGCCAACAGTCTTCTGTCTGTTCTTTTTTTTTGTTTGTTTGTTTAATGGAAATCACTTTTATTTGTTAAAAAAAAAAAAAATACAATTGTTTTCACCAAATGAATTCCTGTTATTTAATTCTTTCTTAAATAAAGTCCAACAGTGGCTGAAATTTCAGAATAGATCCCTGCTTGATCTACTGAACAAGTAGCTTTTCCTGTTTAATGAGGGAATTATTAATGCCTCCGGTGTGTTTCTACCTTCACAGATAAGTGGCTCACAGATGTAGGAATTACTTCTCCTAGTCCAATATTGCAACTCAAGATCTAATGAAGTGGATTTCTTTTTTAAACGTAGTCAAATGACTGAATCACACAGGAGATTGTGGGCTTTATTAATGTTCAATTCATTTGTGACAGTTGTTAATTGCTACAAAATGGGCTTATAAGGCTAAGTCTTGCAGCTCAGCTCAGTCATCGTACTGAGTTTAGAGTTTATCCTTGTAGCGGCGGTTTATGCCAGCTCCAGCCTGGTATGTTGAGTTCTCGATGGATAAAAATAATCCTGTACAGAATGCATCTAAATAAGTGGATTACTAACACGAGAAGTTTAGTTTTCAAAGATGAAGCATCAGCAGCTACTCCGAGTTGTTTACTGAATTCGAAAAGAGATAAAGTATTAAATTCTCCCAGATGATATATATGTCACTGTTGTTATCTTCTTTTGTCAATTTGTAAATTTCTTCTCCGAAATCTTTACATCTCTCTCTCTCTTTCCAGCACTCAGGTGGCACCTCACTATTTTCTTCTTTCAACATCCTATCTGTGACACTCTCATCACATTCTTTGAGTCAAGGAGAAAGCAAATTGAGAGGGAGACTTTGTCATTTGTATGCAAAGAGACAGCTGCAGCTATCTCTCAAATATGAGAGCCATCCAGAGCAATTTGGCCATGATTTGGAGAAATGTGAGTAATCTTTCGCCCCATGCATCCTATATGATGGATGGCATTTCCCTTTGACAGAGAGAGAGACACAGAGCGAGGCCAGCATGGGTGTGAAATGCGCATTTGTGTGTTTAGAGGTGGTGTGCGTGGAGCACGTGTAGCCGCAATGCATTCATGCATATCAATGTCTGCTCTGTGGAAACACTGTCTGATGGTTTCTGCTGTCTTGCCTCAGCAATCTGACACGCCGATTTGGAAGGGCAACGCAGGAATTATTGATACAGAGACTAGATGTTGTCATGAGAAATGTAAACTTTGCACTGTGTGTATTTCTGTGTTTTTGTGCAGATGGAATCTTTCGATGAGATTATCTTGAAGCGTCAGACCCCTCCTGCACATGTTTGATGCTTTCGCTGTGTTTGCATATTGACTGATGTGTTTTTTTTTTGGATGCCTCTACTCAGCAGTGCAGGAGTTAAATTTTGCGGTCTTGCTTTACTAAGCCGAACACAAATTACTCGGAGGGTTGCAAAGTTTTCCATCGCCGTATGCTTTCAATTTAGCAGGATATTTAATTACCCCGATCATATAAATGATTACAGCTGGAGTTTAGTTCGTTTAAATGCTCTACTGCTAATTAAGACTTAAAGCTGGTCTTTTAAAACATGCCTCCACTATACTGTATCTGGAGAGCAACAGATTGCCAAAGAACGCGGAATCTATCTGCGGCTGGACTTCAAATATGGCTGTCAAAACTAATACGCTTCTTGTAGATGGAAGGATGTATGTACAGAAATACTGAATAATCTAGGGCATAGTGAGGAGTTATGGCACCAGGGCAGTGTATATAAGACTAAAATATACATAACAGTGTCCAGTTGAAGGAACAGGTCACTATATTTTCAACAGTTTTTGGAAC